TTGTTGAAACTGTACTTCTGATTTGATGTGAAACTGTCTCATTGCTATATGTTTATCAATAAAACTGTAGAAAAATAATAATAATAATAATAATTATCATTCCCTAATAATTCTGAATGGTTTGGTAACTTCAGCCTTCTCATGCTTCAAAAAATCTGTAAGTTATTATTTACCATTCCCATAAAAATGCTCCTTAAATTTATAATTAGAGACCAGGAATGCAGCTCAGCAACAAAGTGCCTGCCTGGGAAGTACATGCCTTGAGTTTGATTCCCAGCATTAAATAGATATGTAGCTACATATTAACATCTAGTGATATATTTCTTTGTTAATTTGATTTGATTTTAAATAGTAAAAACAGGGCTGGTGAGATGGCTCAGTGGTCTAAAGCACCTACTTAGAACAAGCTAAACTAAGCAAAGCACAGGGACAACGGTTCAATCCCCCAGCACCACATGCCAGCTGGCCCTGCCCCCTGGTGGGCTGAGCTGGCCACACACATAAAATAAATGAATAAATAAATAATAATAAAAATTTTAAAAAATAAAAATAAAATAAATAGTAAAAACAAAAAAAAAGCAAATAGCAAAAACAAAGACAGAAACAGAGTAACATACAAAATATACATCACAGATTTTCCAAAAAAGAATGTCAAATTAATAATGGTTGTTATATTACATATATGTTTTTTGAAATTTGTTGCTCAGATTAACAGATATAGATATGCAAGACTAGGTAAATACTTGAACACTAATTCTTGCTTTCAATAAACTTTAATTTTAATTTGCCCTTCGTTTTTAAATTTATCTTAAAGAGAGGGTAATGATAATTTATAAGACATTAGAAATAGTGACATTTATGTGAACAAGATGAGAGGTATTCAACAGTGGCTTTTGTATTGCATATTGCTGTCTTCTATATAGTTGCTCAGATGACAAATATTAGCGTAGAGTGTTAGTCAAACTGAAAAATTTGTACATTAACTTATTTTCAAAAAAAAGACTGAAATTATTAATACAATCAATTCAGATCTACTATATAGATATTTGCATGATTTTGTCCCTTTCTTTCTTTCCTATCTTCTTCTGTCCTTCATCTTCATTATGTATTCATTATGTCCAATTTCTTTTGGTTTTATCTATTATAATTTCCAATTTTCATTTATTCTTTTAGGTTCTTTTTTTTTAGGTTCTTACACTAGGGAGACAATGTATTTACACATGTGGGTCTGATTTATTACTCTTATGAGTATAACCTGTAGTTGCATCCACTTACCTAAAAAGACTTCAACTTTGTCTTTCTTAATACCTGTATAATACTTCAGTGTAGAAAAATACTAAATCTTTTTTATCCATTCCTCAGGTGATGGGTATTTGGTTGTTTCTAGGATTCAGCTAAGACAAATTGTGCTACTATAAGCATGGCTACTATAAATCACTGTGGTATGATTCTTTCAGTTCTTTTCGGAAAATACCATGAAGGTGAATAGCTGAGTTGAATGGGATTTTCAGTCCTACTTTTTTTAGGAGTCTCCAAAATGATTTCCATAGTGTTTGCACCAGTCTACATTCCCACCAGCAGTGTAAAGTGTTCCTTTTTCTACACAGCTTCTCCAGCATTTGTTATTAGTTGATTTCTTTAAGACAGTCATTCTTTCTGTGGTGAGATGGTATCTCAACGCTGTTTTAATTGCATTTCTAAAATGACCAGTGCTATGGAATCATGTACCATATATTTATTTACCAATTGTATATCTTCCTCTGAAAAATATGCATTCATCTCATATTCTCAATTTCTGATTGGATCTTTGAATTTGGGGTCCTCCTTTTTTTTAAGTTCTTATACATTCTCATTGAAGTCCTTTATCTGAGTGATTGTTGATTAAGATTTTTTTCCCAATTTGTGGCCTGTCTTCTCACTTGATTACTTCTTTTCATATGCAGAAACTACTCAATAAGATAAGAACCCAGATGTTTATTTCTTGAAGTATTTCCCAAACAGTTGGTTTTTGTTCATGAATTTTCTGCTTAACCCTGTCTTCAAGATTTCCACCTAATTTTTCTTCCAGTAGAACTAGTGCCTGTTTTAATATTTTATATGCTGATGAATTTCTTTGTAAATTGTAGGAGTTTCCTTATGAAGAATTTAGAGTCTTCCCTGTAGAGTATTATGTGATTTGTGAATAATAATAATTTAACTCCTTCCTTACCTGTTCTTATTCCTTTTATTTCTCTCTCTTGTCTAATGGCTCTAGTTAATGTTCTCAGAACTATACTGAATATGAGTGGTGACAGTGGATATCTTCATTTTCTTCCTCATTTTACAGTGAAAAGGTTCGGTTTTTCTCCATTTAGAATGATGTTGGTTGTTGCTTTTTTACAGATCACCTTTATCAGACTTAGGTGCAGGCCATCTATTTCAAATTTCTCTAAGGCTTTGATCATGAATGAGTGTTG